TCAGCTGAGTTAAAAATAAATTAGCAACGGCCAAGTAACACGTGGTCGAAGATAGCAAAAAAACGCGTTTTCTCAAACTTGAGAAAGTTTTTACTAAAAATCTGTGGGGTTCAAATACATACATTTCCATCAACTTTTTGTTCAAAATGTGCCAAAGAATCGGAATAGATGTTATGTTTACCAAAATTAAAAAATTTTCTCATTTGTTCTCTCAAAACCTAGCAACTTGGTATAAATAAGTATTTGCCACATAAGCGCGATTTAAATAAGCTGTCCTTTTATTAAAGAAAAGAAATCTTAGAACCTTCCGGTGAAAAATTCTCCCTCTAGATTTAACTCACATTTTTGAAAAATGTGAATCAAAATTTTTTGTGTGAATAAATAAACGAACTTATTTATCAAAACGAACAGTAGTTTCTTGGAGTAACAATTTTAGCAGTAACATTTTAGCAGTATTAATTGAAAGACGCTCATAATAAGCGAAAAAGTTAAAAAGTAATCTAAAATAATATCTATGATTATTACTCTTCTCTTTGTCTAAACACATGGTACTTTTACACAAGTACATAAACCTCAATGCTGTATAAATAACTCTATAGCTATAAAATACTAACCACTTGCAGAAGATCTATAACTTGAAGACAAACATTAAAAAAAAAAAAAAGTGTGCAAGGACAGTTAAAAAAAATAAAAAATTTTCTAAAAAAACTCTTAATGCGCTGGGTGAGGTGGTTTTTTTGCTAACTTGGCAAAACTATTTTCGAATGATTTCTGGATACTTGAGTTTAATAAGTTGACAAAATATGGATAATTATTCAAGTTTGCAAAATATACGACGTTAATCTTGTTAATCATCATATACTCTTTAATATAATTTAAAAACCGTTGAAATTTATGTATACTTATAAAATAAGATTGCCTGTCTATACCTACATTTATTTATAATTTACAGATGAACAATTCAATTCCGTATCATCAAAAATTGCAAGGCTATCACTATATCTGACGGCATTCATTATTATTTCTATGTACGCGGGCTGTTTTACCAGTTTCGCCACAGTTTCAATACCACACATTCCATTTAGAAATACGCGAGGATTTCTAGAGGACAAAACATATCAATTGATTATTGTAAAAAATACTGACCCATTAACGTTTTTCTCGGTAATTTTAAAAAATTTTAATTGAATATATCAATTACATTGTACTTAAAAACTTTATCCAATGATGATTTAATAGAGCTCAAGGGACAACATAAATAACGAACTGAGATTGTTTTTGAAAGATGAGAATAGTCTACCTACAACCCTCCAAGAGGCTATACAGCAGGTAATGTAAAATATTCAACTTACGTTAATAATTTTTAAAGATACTAAACAATGCATTATCTTTCACAGTAGCATTTAAAAATTATTTTTAACACTTTTATTTGTATTGGTGGTAAGACTGTTTGTCAAAAGATAGTTTTTTTTTTTTTTAATTCACCCGTAGACAAAAATTTTTGGCACTCAAAAAATTGTATCAATGTCAGTAACAAATGTCTTCAACATTGCACTCGAAAAATAGTAATACGAAGATATTATTAAACGTTATAATGTAATTTTTTATTTTTACAAAAGGTTATACAAATGATCCGTATAAATCTGTGTGTGTGCAATTAATACGGTTCTACACTAGTACACTTTCAACTAGTACAATTCTAAAAAATTATTGAAAGATTAAATAACTTAAAATGGATTTCTTTTTAAAGTGTAAATCGTTAAATTTTTATTTTAATTTTAGGTATGCAATGAAAGGGTAGTTCTCTATAATATTGATACGTTACGGAGTCCAGCAACTTTAAAAAATCCTTGCAAAATCTTACCTATTCCACTACATAATTTAAGAAAAAAAAGTATAGCTTTGAACAAAGGAGATCCACTTCTTCAATTTTTAAATCATCAGTAAGTATTTTTAAGTAAAACTTATTTCCTTAGTATTAAAACAATGTTTTTTTTCAGCATCCAGAAGTATCGAGAGAATGGAATAATATCTCGAAAAAGGAAGTCAAGTATTTACAATACTCGTATCGAAAAAGAAGTTTTATTTACATCATTAGGTCTTACTGAAGTCACTCCATTGTTTGTTTTTTTATTAAGTGGATTTTCCCTAAGTCTAATCATATTTTTGTATGAGAAATGTCACAGACAGATTGTAAAGTATTTTGTAAAAAAACCATGTAGGAGAATCAAAAAACTTAGGAAACCAAAGAAAAACAACCGTTTGTACAATAATGGAAAGCCTTTTTCAATTTATTCTCAGTACAGGGAACCGCAGCCGCGCCCTTTGTGGCCTTATACCCCGTAAGAAGATTGTAGTGGTACCGTAAACAACAAAAATAAATTTTTAATAAGAGTTACCTCTTAAGCTCTTAGTTTACCATACAAGAATAAAATTGAAAAAGTAATCACGTGTAGAAAAGAGTAGTTTTTGTACCATGTGCGCAAAGAAAAAATATCTCCCCTAGAAGCCGCGATTTATGTATATTAGTTATTAACTTTCAAAACTCGTTTTTCTGCTTAATTATGCCAAAGATTTAACGCTCATGGTAAAAAAATTACTCTTAAATATAGATTTTGTACTGACCCGTACAAACTACATATATATTTCTACACAACATTTTGCAATAATTATAAGTTAATAAATTAACAAAATTTTGAAGCTAGACTCACTGAAATTTTGATTAATAAGTTTAATCGCAATTTATCTCATTGTCCTAGATTTTTAAGCGATTCCAGTAGAATTTAATAGTATTTATCGATTTACAGTTAACCATTAGTAAACAATAATAATCTCTCCAAACGAACCTATATGTTTGACCGGAAATGTTCCTGACTTCATTTCTCCGAGACTAGGAAGTTGGGCCTCCTAAAATTTAAAGTGATTCATTTGTAGTAATCAAAGGAGTGTCATAGTTCTTGACGAATTTTTTAAAGAAACTGGACATCACGATATCATTCTTAAAAGTTATTCTTAAAATGCTGGGCTGTAACCTAAAAGTTCAAATGAAATAGCTATATTTAATCATTGTTATGTAATTTGAATTCAAACTGCCAGGTGCATTACAGACACTAACAGAGGGTCAAGTGCAGTGTGGCCAATGCCGGGAGCTTCTCCTGATTGGCTCTGCCATATTCAGGACCAACAGGCACACAATCCTAATCAGCCAATCACTGGCTCAGAATCTCACATCTGTGAGTTTCATAAGTTTGAGTGACATACATCGAAATGTATATGTTGTGTGAGTATTATACATATATACACAGTTTCTACAAAAAGTCCTGAACATGGCGGCTCATCTGTCACACTCTGTCTTGGCCCTCTGTGAGGTGCCTATAGGTGCCCATAGGAACATTTTAAAATTATTCATAATTCACATAATTAGTTGACTAAACTAAGGTTAAATAAAAAATGTAAAGATTCAATCATTTAGAAAAATAATTATTGTTCGCATATTTTTTATTCTACAATACAAGATGTGCAGTTGAAAATTTGCAAAGTCTTATATTTTTTCATTAAATGATAATTATAAGTTAAATGTTTAATCAAAGTAAGTGTTTATAATGCTTTTGGTCTCGTGCAGTAAATGAATTTGTAAATTTTTATAAAAGTGTTAAAATAAATATTCTAAGATCATTTTTTTGTATCTTTTTTATTTTGCCTCTATATTTTATAAATTTAAATTTAGTTGTTTACCAAGGAATATGATAAAGAATAAGAAAGGTAAGTTAATTCTTTTTAAAAAAATAAAAAGACAAAAAGTTCAACTTGAATTCGATCAAAAAATCACAACAAATAATGTACAATTGTTGCAAGCACATGCTCACAAGATTAAAATTTTAACTCCCTTGTAAGTAATGTTTAGACGTCGTATAAAATGCTTGCTCATTAAAAATGTATCGGTCAAGAAATTCTTAGTTGCATACTGTATACATGTTAATATACTACTCATTGCATTAAAAAATTGTTNATCAACCTTAACAAAATACTTTTTTTAGTTTTTTAGTTGTTATTTAAAGAAGTTATATTGCAGAAAAATAAGAAATAACAGACAGCTTTTGTCACTGTCAATTATACGTGACAAGAGACAAAGTGAAGTAGCTGAAAAGAAACTGAAATGTTTCTTGAATAGTTAATATTTTAGTTTTAATTAATCATTTTTTTGATGGGTATTCTGGTTATTTATTTACATAAACAATGAACTTAGCTTATATCAACCTTAACAAAATACTTTTTTTAGTTTTTTAGTTGTTATTTAAAGAAGTTATATTGCAGAAAAATAAGTAATAACAGACAGCTTTTGTCACTGTCAATTATACGTGACAAGAGACAAAGTGAAGTAGCTGAACAGAAACTGAAATGTTTCTTGAATAGTTAATATTTTAGTTTTAATTAATCATTTTTTTTATGGGTATTCTAGTTATTTATTTACATAAAAAATTAATTTACGAGTTAAGCAGAGTATCTTATTGCAAATCTAATTACTACGTTAAGTCTTGCATATAAATATTTTTGCTGGAGCTGTTGTTTGGCATAGCATTTTAGCCTTGTCAAATAACTTAAAATCTATAAAATTATTCGTAACAACAAAATTGAAAGCAAATTTTTAAAGAAATTATCCTACAGTACCTTCTGATTTACGGGTATTTTTTTAGTAGACTTTGCAACTATAAGTATCTCTATTGAGTGTAGGATAAAAAAAATAGCATTTGATATTATTGGAAAGAAAATCGACAACTGTACAAATGTATTACTCCACTATTATGAAGTACTTAAATTTTTATTTTCATCCCTGCATTAATATGATAAAAACTATGAGATCTCAAAGTATTTTAGTTGATTATTCATGAATAAAATAGATTAGATAGTTAAATGAATTCATTTATTATTTCTTTTTCCTACATTTTTTTATCTTTTATTGACTGTAACCATAAATCGACATTTATAATGTTGATCACAGTCTATTTATGAATAGCTGGAGCATATAAATACAAGACATTGTCCGAGTCGAGCCACGCCTCAACCTTATCCGAATCATTCTTATCTGGAATCTTACATGTTAAGGTGATTTCTCGGGAAGCGTTTTCGTCCTCACCTTCTTCAACTATCTTTATGCCCGTAACTGAAACGGATTTACCACTGACCTGAAAATTAAACATACTTTTCTCACCAACATATTTTATTGTCAAAAAATAATTTTCATGCATGTAAATAAAATAGTATTATGAGACATCCAACAGGTTTAAATTTTTATTTACACCTATCAGCTCATCAAATTTATTGACAAAGTAAAACATAAGACTAGTGGGCACATACTTTTTTGATTGTAGTCAAGCATTTAACACGAAAAAGATCTAATACTCAAAAAGTAAAACCAGACAAAAACTTGGACAAAGAACTTCCGTACTTACGTTGACGTTGAGCGTATTCGAGACAAATGTAGTAGAATCTATTTCCTGTACATGGGTGCCCTGCAAATACGCCACTTCATTAAATTTTCGAGAAATGTATAAAGAAAATGAGATATTCGTCTTTAATTGGTCGTTTCCTCACCTTATCATTATTGGCGGCTAAAATGCGAGGATCATCCTTAGATATCGGCTCAATCTCCAACTGCCTCGTCTCTTGGGAAGTGTTGCTGGGAACTGTAATATCGTGACCCGCTAACGCCTCTGAATAGGGATCTGCAGGATCTGGTGGTATATTTAGACTTGGGTCATAATCATATACACTCTCATAAGACATTTTGATAAAAATTTTATTGTAACGTGGCTTTTTCGATTGAGAAAAATGAAGGCACGAATTGCGGTTAAAGTAACTTTATTGTAACCTCTTCAGACAAGTAGGGCGTGTCTCTAACGTCTCTAGCTAATATCCCCGACTTACCAAAGATTAGTACGACTCGACTAACTTCGCTTTTCTTCTCTATTTTTCTAGCTTCTCTTTTCTACTATCCCCACCTTTGAGAATCGAGGCCGAAAAAGCGCACAGGTATTGGAATAAGAGTTGGGGTACATATGAGACAAATAAACAATACCTGCCGCCAATCTCACAAAAGCTGAGACACTTCACAACTGGTAAAGATACACAGCGTGTTTACGATGTCGTCTCGCCATTACAAGTTATATCAGTAAAAAAAAAAATTGACGTTGGTGACAAAGTTCCCCCATAAAATAAAATAAAAATAATTTTAATGAATACTTCACAATTTGTCTATTTTTATTATTTAAAATCGGTTATGAATAGTACCAACAAACTAGGATTATGTTGATTATATTAGTCAGTAAAAATGAGATCAATTGTTACTTTGTCGGAAATTACTTCCTATCACAATATGGTCCACAATCTTTAAAGATTTAGTCAACTTGCTGTCAGACCTTACATAAATTATTTCTTACTGCTACGATTTTAATCGTTTTATTATAAAGAGAAACTGTTTTGAGCTTCAATGATCAATCCTTTTTTTTTTTTTCCTCACATCGACGCTTCTTTTAAACGCAACGAAACTACTATAAAGTAAAAAACGATTATCTTTAATTATGTGTTTACACATCAGTTAAAAAAAAAAGGTAAAATCCAATGAAAAAAATCGATGTAGAAAAAGTCAATGTGATTAGCACGTAATATTAATTATTTCACTTGGAAACGGGTTAAATATACTTCTTCTCCAAACGAAATCCCAATTTTAAGATAGCGGTCAACATCATACTTCAATTTTTTTGGTTTTTCCTTGATACTACATTGACATCAACTATAAAAAAAAGTACACACACACCAACGAATAGCTGATTTGTTATTTTATTCAAACACCCAAAAAAAGCGTTCGATCAATACCATGATGTACTCACAAAAGGGTCAGTGCTTGATTCCATAAACATATCATAGGAAAAATAAATGTGGAACAAAAGCAGGTGCAGGGTATATACGGACAATTATAAATACATTATGAGCAGAGCTGCGTAGTAGAAGGTGACAAAACTGAATTGTCATCCACATTAACGCGTCAGTACTGACACGCGATATTTGAGGAAATAAACTATTCTTCTTCGGCTCAACTCTATATACGGTGTTGCTACTTTGTTTTATGCTGGAAAGTACAGATAAACTATAGGAAACTTTGGACGTTGGAAGGGAATAACTCGGGGAAACGTTTCTAAAAGCGTAGGGGATGTTATAATTATATATGTTCGTGACCGCAGGACAAATATTTTGGTTTGTTGGGAGAATTTCCTGTACAATATTTATAACGTTTGTTACTGTATTTACAACCAAGTGGGTGTTGGCTCTATTTCTCAATTTTATTTATACTGATATGTTGGAGCTTAAAAAAAATGTTGCTATGTAGAAGATAAAGTAAAAAGGTACATAAATGTTTAAATTGACGGATGTGTGCACTTTGCAGACAACAATTTTAGCTAACTGACACGTGAAATTGCATACGGTATAGGTTTTTTCTTTTTTTTTATATTATAGTGCTCTACGTCCGGCTCCTTTGATAAGGGCACTACTACAGGCACTTATCACTTGGGAGAAGGACAAAGAAAGGGATGAGAGGGGGGGTAGGGGGAAAGTAGGCAATTTTTGCTGTGAGAAGGTCGCCTAAAAACCCTCCTCGAGGAGCAATGCGTGGTGAAAAAGCACATGTAAAAATTTATTTTCAGAGGTACTTACCCGAAACAGTTGCACTTGCCGGGAATCAAACGACGGTCTCCCGCGGGTCAATCCACGATCTAGCCGACTGAGCCACCACGCGCTCACACGGTATAGCTAAAGCGTGTGTAACTTTTGTTTTAACCCTCAATCACATGTATATATAAATTTTTTTCTTTTTTAATTTTACTGTTATTTCTAAAAACTGTTTCCAAAGTGTAAAAGTCTCAAGTTTCTACAACTTATGACATTTTGTGAATACCGGCCTTTTAAAAAATAAAAAATACTTTTTCAATTGTACAACCTTATTTTAAGATACATTTTCCTTGATGGTAGTTATTTTAAATCTTATAGCTTTACATAAAAAATAATACATAATTATATATTCATGTGAAGAAAGGCAGAAAATCTTAAGAAATTGCTTTAGATATTTGTGCTTTACAAAAAAAAACTTTTCACATTTGATGTCAGCCAAAGTATCATATATCATTACTCAGCAAATTTCCTACTGATAATGAAGCAAATTATACAACAACACAAGTTAATAGCTTCTGGTCTTTTTTTCTCGCATTACAAATTACCTACCTTTTTTATAAAAAAAAAAAAAAAACTAAAGTTATAATAAATAACATAAAGTAAAAGCACCCATTCAAGTACAAACAGTACTTATTGAATTATAAAACATGTTTTGGTTGTGCAAAAATTCTATGATAGCACTGCTATTATAATTGAAAAAAATTATAAAAAAATAAACCTATTATTCATATCTCATATAAAAAAACTATTGATCATATTAATACCTACAGCAGTAATTGAACACCAAATTTCTAAATTGCACAAAAACAGGGAAATTATTTTATGTTAGGAGTTTTATTAATTCTCAAATTCTACTTTTATAAGTAAATCTATAATATTATACAGCGTCAAAAATCTATGATGTACAGTTAATAGAAAAAAATCTTTTATTTGAGAAAAATCCAGTTTAATACCGTGTGATACTATAACACATCAAGTTCTAATTACATGCACACATATTTGGATTTGGTACGCTAATGATACATCAAATTTTCTTTAAATCAGAAACATGAACAAATTGACGTACAGCTAATTAACTGATGTAAATGAATTAGAAAATTATTCGATAAACAGTTACAGTTGCTGATTAATTTTTTACGTTACTAACAAATTTTGATGATTTGATATTTCAAAAAATGATAATGTACATTGATGAAAAGTTACTTATTATAAACAGTGTATCTCCAATAGAAAGTAGCTTAAAGACTATATGGTGCATTGCTTTGAAATTTTGTCATATATTGGTTTCTTTGCAACTTGTCCTACGACGATTGGCTTCTGTTTTGTTGGTTTCTGGAAATACAGAGAAAATGAGGGGAAGTTGGGAAGGGATTGACTCAATATCGATGAGCGTGACTTTTTTCCCACTTCATGGCCAGGAAATTTTGGTGGTGGGAAAGGGTATCCTGTGGTTCTGAAACTTGGCTCAAGAAATCGAGAAAGTAAAATCAGTGCTACATGTGCCTAGTACCTCAGGGTGTTCCTAAAACGAATGAAATATTTTATTTGCATCTCCATAAATTTTTATTTCGTAGTTAATTTGTTGACGATTTTTTTTACGTTCAACAGGTGAAAAATCAACTGAAAATAATTAAATCTCCTTATTAGTTGAACAGTCGTATGAATAATTTTTTTTTTTTTTTTCTTAATAATAAAAATCTACTTTTTATCTAAAATCTGTTCTGCACTTTTGATTGTATTTTGTTACTTAATCAGAGATGAAAAAAATTTTTTAGAAGAAAAAGTCAAAAACATTTTATGCATAAGTTATTTATGCTGATGAAAATTGTGTGGTAAGTTGTTACAAAAAAAAGATTGGTTTTTTCGGGAAACTTAGAACAAGCCACTGTATGTATTAAATATTAAAAAGATTTGAAGATAAAAGAAAAATAGTAAATCGTTAATTGTTTTTTAGGCTTTTTACACTTACGCGTATTTAGTAGCCAACATTTTTATTTTCTAATACTAAACGTATATGATGTTGAAAACAGTTGTTACACTGTATTTTTAAAAATAATACAGACACAAAAGGTAGTACAATTTACCTCATACATCGTATCACATGCGTTATACGTATATTTTTTGCTTAACTTTTATGCTATTCATCTTGCAAAAAGTGCACTTTCCTAAAAATAAAATTTTTTTAACTCATTTCCAACCAATTGGATTTTTTTCATTTTTATTGATATGAAAATGTCATACATTTTTTTTCAATGAAACGATTTTTTTTTTTACACTACGAAATAAATATTTTCCAAACCAAAAAAAGGGGGGCTTATTCAACGAGAATAAAGTTTACTGCAAAGTTTTTTGATAAATATATTTTAATACTATATAATGTCCATAACTTGCATCATATTGCTGATAAAATCAAAAATATGAAGTGTTCGTTAAATGAAATTTGAGCTTTTGATTTTGAAAGCACTCTAGNGGTATATAATAACAGTATCCTAATACAATATATACAAACGAATAAAAAATTAATCTAAAGTCCAGAGAAAAATTTATTGGCGCGCGCTTATTCACAACGATTTAATTTTCGGCTCACGAATCTGCGTTGACCATAACAATGTTTAATTTTCACCCTTTATTAGTCACGCAAGTTGCGAAGAAAATGCGTCCATCCACTGTATTGCTGTTGGCATATGGCGAGCTAAATTTGAGTAGAACATCTTGTAATTTATGTAAATTTTACAAACTGGGGACTTGGGGATGGATCGTGATTAAAAAAATACATCATCAAGTACATTTTCAATGAAAAAAATTTTATTTACTATACATTTTTATTTATTCGAAAATATATTAAAGAAATTCATGGGGATGCAACGAGTACAAGGTAGAAATGGAGTAAAAAAATTATTTGCCATTTTGAGTGATTGCAAAAGTGAGCTTTGATTCCTTAAACGTCCTATCAGACCTACATATACGTATAAACTTACCTATAGGATAAGGCGTGCGTTATTTTCCATAGGAAAAAAGTGCTTGGTCTCCCCATACGGAGCACATATTATTACACGTCAGTCAACGACTGACCTACTCCTGTTCATATCACAATAGTTTACTGCCACGACTCGAAAAATTATCTCAGTAAAAACGTGTAAACACCGAAATATCAAAATCCCGAAGTAAAAGATGCGATACATGATTGTAAAAACCGTAAGCGCTTCTGATACTTTGCTCTGTGTATTGAGGAAAAAAAAAAATCATCTCAGTACAACTCAGCCATGATCAAAACCACGAGAGAACTCCATCCAGTAAACGGATGGCTACCCCTGCCCTCACCAACCTCGTCCCCATAGTTTTCCCAGATGTACCCCGTCCTCTTGTACTGCTCGAAAACATTGTCCATCAAGTTCTTCCTCAACTCCGAGTAAATCTCCTTGGCTTCGGCCTGATATGGTCCATCGACTGTCGAGTAGTGATGCAACGCAGCAACGGCCAGGTAGTTCATGTTGATCCAAATAGCCCCACGCCAGTATGGCGGATCGTGCTCCGTATTGTACTTGTTGTAGAGGGGCGAAGACCTGGCCAGTGACCTCAGACCCACGCCCGTCCACAACAGGTCTGGTTTCTTGAGATCATGAAGAATCCTGAGCAGGTAGAGCGAGTCTGGCCTCACTAGGCGCAAGAAAAAGGGAAAAAGCGATACGTAACCGAAACTCGAGTCGACGAACTGCTTCTTGGGCTGATCCAGCACGACGCGGGTCACCTCGAGCGTCGTCTGCACGTTGTTACTCGACATTCGCTTGATTTTCCTCAGCTTGACCTGATCACTGTGCAGACCATAATCCGAGTAGCTGTTGCTCGTTGGCGACCAGTGGAGCTCGTTGAGTAGCCGATTGTCGGCCAAATACTCGTACGTGTTTGCGTACTTGTGTGAAGGTCTCTGGAGGACGTCGGCTACGTTGGCCATGACTTTGGAAGCCATAGCCATCCAACAGCGTAGATCCACGTGACGCTCGTCGCTGCTTGGATGCGAGGCTCTTGGGTAATCGTCCAAGCCAGAGGTGAGAGTCTTGGGATTGAGTTCTCTGGTCCCACTGGGGTTCCTTCCTCGCCACCGGTAGGTACTGGGCAGCTCGCCTCTCTGCGTCGTGTTGTACCAGTCGTACCAGAGCTGCAGCCTTGGGTAGAGCTTGTCGAGGAGGTCCAGGTGCCGGGCCGAGAACTCGTCGCGTTTGTGCTCCAAGATGTAGTTTAAGGTCATGAGGAACGTCGGTGGATTGGCGTTGGTGTTGAATTGAACGACAAACTCCTCGGGTACCTTGGCCAGTGCCTCGTCGCCCAGGATCATTTCTCGAGGGATCCAGCCTTCGATGTTCATAAGGTCGAACCAGTGGCTGATCACGTCCATCTCCAGGTCGAGGTTCCAGTGGAGCAGCAACAGTCCGTGAAAACCCTCGTCCCAGAGGAAACCACGTGGAAAGAAGCTTCGGCTCGGCACACCCGTGAACAGAGGAGCCCTCCAGTAGGGCACGGGTCTCTGGGTGTGCTCGCTCTGTACTTGGGACGACCCAAAAAAGTAGCCTACTGAGCCTATCATGTTGGAAAAAGCCAGTTTGGCAAAGTCGATCCTCTCGTCGTCGAAGCCCTTTTCTCTCAGCTTGAATACCCTTTCGAATTTGTCGTCAAACTCCCTCTCGTGACTCACCAGTGCCTTTGGGTAGTTTTCACCCGTGATCTTTTCTCTCTGGTCCTTCCTGCTGTCGCGCTCGAAACTCACCTCCAGCTCCAGAGGGAGATCCGCTGTCACTTGCGTTACGATGAAATTGGGTGACTGGCTGCTCGTTGGATACCTCACCTCTCCGGGCAGTGTTGTACCATCTTTTGCAAATCTCAAGCTGTGAGCCACAGTTTGCGTCAGCTGACTCAAGCTAGGAGCTGAAGTCGACAGGTACGAGTGCTGCACGTTTTTGCCCTTCAAAGTGTTAAAGTTTATCCTGAAGAATCCCAGCTCGTCGGTCTGTCCGTCTATGCCCTCCAGCTTGGTTTCAGAGTCCATCACGGACGTGAGGTAACCGTTGGTCTTGTTCTCGATGGCGGCGTAGTAAAGCAAGGATACCCTCCTCTCGTGGCTCCCAGTCACGTTGATGTGAGCCGTCCAGTCACCGCCGTGTCTTCCATGAATATTCTTGACGAACGACGTTCTCAGCATCACACCCCTGTCCACAATCTCCTGCAATCCAAAGTTCTTCCCATCGTGCTTGAGCCATCCGTACCTGTCCAACCGGTCGTTCTGGTCGCACCAGTGCCTCACCCTGATGGGCTCGTTTTTCCCAGCCTCGTACCACATCAGTCCAGTGACCAGAGAGTACGGCACCCTGGTCTTCGTCCCAAAGTACACCCCAGGTCTGTAAGTGCCCCAATAGTACTCTTGCTTGTCGAGGGGACTCGACTCCGCCAGTTTTTCATTGCTAAAGGGAGTGTTGACTCTCGTCGACTTAAACCCGAGGTAGGCAACGTAAGCCACACCTGCCACGGACGCGACCACCACAAGCTTGTAGCAAAAGGATACGTGCCAATTGCTCGGCTCCGGTGACACCGATGACCCACGGTAGTAATTGCTACCCTTGCTCGAGAATTTCGGCGGACGGCTGTTAGTGTAACCGCCACCCTCGGGTGCTTTTTGTCTACGGTTACGCATTTTTTTTTTTTTTTTCCTATCACTCTTTTACTTGTAACCTGATGGTCGTCATTTTGTGTTTACTTACGAGCGTGGTGAGATTTTTCGTTTTGCTTGTTCGGTTTTTGTTGAAATTTTTGTATGTTATACTGGTGCTACTTTTCTTGTAAATACTGTTAAAAATCGCTCTTAAGCGACTTTATAAAATTTTGTAAACAAACGAAAAAGAAGCATCGCGATCGGAAATTTAACTAGGCTGCCTCGATAGTTAGAGGGGGACCTAGGTAGGCCCAAGGTAGGTTTTGTAACGGTGGAATTGGTAGGGACTACGTAGAAGGCCTAGCTAGGTATCTTCCATCTCACTCTTTCTTATACTGTTGATGTAGCTACAATATATAGGTACAACTGATATATGAGAATGCATGAGTCATTTCGGAGCAGTGTTTGTAAATAATTAACTGACATGTTAACGGTTCTCTGCATTTTAATTAAATAGTTTTAAAACTTATTTTTGTAAAATGAGTGAGACAGTGAATTAAACGATCGTTGTCATTAGGTAAGGAAAGGGTCAAGAGATATCGTGCTTTACAACGTGCAATTACAAAGGTGGAAGAAAAAGAAATACGTGGCTGCAATATTCTTGCAAATTACGATGCCGTTGACGAAAAAAGTTGTATGAAAAAAAAAATTTGTTCCGAACCGCTGATTAATTCTCAGACTAGTGAAAAGTGTGATGATAGACAAGGATACTTTACGTCTAATGACGACGAGTCAGACAATTCATTTTACGATGATTCGAAGGTACTGAAAAATGGCAATACTATGAAATTTTGTATAACTGATGAATTAAGGCAATAATTCCAAAGTCTGCACTTAATAATTCACTACTAAAGCTATTCAAAAAGTTTTATCCAAAAATGCCCATTTCATCAAAAACCTTATTGAAAACTTAATTTGAATTGAAACAAAATATTGTAAAGTTTAATACTGATGACAAAAAAGATAACGCTGAATTCGTATATTTTGGCATTGGTGATCAGCTACAAGAAATTGTGCAAAAACAACTACATGAGAATAATATTATTGACTTGTAGTTCAATATCGACGGATTGCCTCTTTTTAATTCTAGTTCAAAATAATTTTGGCCGATACTGGGCAAAGTCTTTCTAAAAGACTGCACTGTATGTAAGCCTTTTATAATATGTGTATATTTTGGAATTAGAAAGCCTAACTGTGTTAGCAGATTTATGAAAGACTTCATTGATGAACTGCAACATTTATTAAAAAATGGGATTATTATCAGTGACAGACATTTTCAAATAAATATTAAATGTTTTATATGCGACCGCCCAGCTAGGTCATACGTCAAATGCATCAAAAGTCACTCTGGTTACTTATCTTGTGAGCGGTGTACGGTGAGAGGACGATACTACATGCAAAGAGTCATCTTTCATAGTCTAGATAATAAAAGGACAAATGAATCATTTAGAGGAAAAAAAGATCCTGATCATCATCTACAAAATGTAGACTCACCTCTTCTTGCAATAAATACAAGAAATTAACATGATTAAACACTTTTTCCTTGATTTTATGCACTTTGGGTGTCTTGGTGTTACTGAAAAGTTGTTAGATATCTGAATGAACAGCAAAAACAAGCTTTCCAAAGAAGCTTCATTGCGAATATCTCAACGGTTAGTCTACATTTCCAGTGCAGTGACCAGTGATTTTCAAAGAACCACTAGATCTTTAGGTGATGTAATGAAGTGAAAAGCTACATAATTTTGGTTTTTTTAACTATACAGTGGTCCATTTGTTTTACAAGACAAAGTGTCTGATAATTTGTATAATCATTTTTTGCTATTACAACTGGCTTTTAGAATATTATGCAGCCCTAGTTTGTGCAGGATTTAGGTGGATCATGCTAAATTATATTTAGACAGATTTGTTGAATTATTTCCTTTATTGTATGGTCTAAAGAAAATGAGCTATAATGTCCATAACTTGCATCATATTGCTGATAAAATCAAAAATATGAAGTGTTCGTTAAATGAAATTTGAGCTTTTGATTTTAAAAGCACTCTAGGCGTAACAAAAGAGAAGATTGCCAGTGAATACAAGCCTCTCGTTCAGCTATGCAAAAAAATCAAAGAGAAACGCTTAATAAACAATAATAAAAAAAAAAGAAAAACAATCAAATTTAACAATTATAAAATCCAGTAAAAACCAGAAACAAATTTATTGGAAAAAAGTGAATTACATGGGATGTGACATTTCGATTCAAGAACCAAACAAAGTTGTGTTGACAAAAGACTCTGTAAAGTAATAAAAATTAAACAAATGGCTATGAATCCAACTAGTGCTCTTGGCGATTTTAAAGTAACTGGAGAGCAGTTACTTACTCTTGGACCTGGCTTTACGTACCCGAGCAATTCAACACTTATAAATATGTAGAAAGTCAAAATAGATTGTAAAAAGAAAGGTTAAAATTTTAACATGAATAATATACAATAGAAACTAATTTTATTCAAAATTTTTGAACTTTTGGAAGATGATAGTACATTGTTCATTGTTCCACTGCTCCATTAATGTAAAAAATATATATAGGCTGTACATAGGAAAGTGTATTTTACAATGACGAAAGCGTATCATTATNTTTATTTCAGCGCCACAAATCAGAGGCTAATAAACACACCTATGTATGCAATCTATTTTTCTTGTTTTGCTTGCACCTCCCATCTTTTTTCTCTTATTCTTTTATAAATTTTTATTTAATGTTAAATTTTCTAAAAAATTGTATTATAAATTTATCTGAAAATAAACAGATCATCTAACTTGATTAAATAACGGTTGTTATCTTATTTCTTATAAACAAATTTATGAAATTTAAATTACTATAACAAAAAAAATCATTCGGTCTCCCGACCTGCTGAGCGACCGAAATCGCCCGTCTATAATACAACTCATGAATAATATACAATGGAAACTAATTTTATTCGAAATTTTTGAACTTTTGGAAGATGATAGTACATTGTTCATTGTTCCACTGCTCCATTAATGTAAAAAATATAGATAGGCTGTTCATAGGAAAGTGTATTTTACAATAACGAAAGCGTATCATTATAACATTGACAGTGCTTACTGTAAGTGCTTCATTACACGTGCATGAGGGAGCAATTGGCAAACTAAGTGAATTAATTGTTATTATTTGCATAAACAGTGAAAGGTGTTAGTAACCACGTGAGACAACTGTTAATCTGAACAATTCTTGTGTTAGTGTCATTGTATATGCGTAATTTGAAATTCTTAGAGGTTATAATAAAGTAAACACTGCAGTTTGTTCCGCTGACTACTTTTAATCTTCATCAGTATCAAATTTGTACTTTGTAAAGGTAAAAAAACAAGTTTTTTTTTCTTATGACTATGATGACCTTTTGTACATGATAAGTTTTGTTACAGATGAACAGTAAATTTTACATAGTGAAAATTGATAGCAGCGCAAAAGAATTTTCTGAGCCTTTCATTGTGCATGTCACTTTTATTGGTGTTGATAACGTAATAGGCCAATGATACAACATTTTATATGCCTCTTCCATAGTCAGACGATGATATTCAAGTCATATCCAACTTTGTAAGCAGTAGTGCAATTCCAACGCTTACTTTGTCTTACTATTAAGATTTTCAAAATGTATGTACATATTTTAGATACGTACGAAGAAGCATTAAAACATCTGAGCTCTATGATATCCATACCCAAGAAACCTCGATCTTTGTTTACTATATCTAAAACAACGTGCTCAGAAGCAGGGAAAAGTATATCTTTTAAATCAAATGCTTCATCGTCAAAAGTTAATGACAAAACTTCAACGGATAATATGTACATCTTATTTCGTGTTCAAAGCCTTTCAGAGGCAATAAAGACTGGTACTGCAAGTCTTGCTGAAAATGTTGAGGAACAATCAAAAGGTTTTAATGTATAATTATCAATGTATGTATAAATATTCTTTACACGCATTCGTGTAGTAACCATTGCGTACGCAATTATTTTTCACAAATCCACTATGAAAATATATACGAAATATATCTTTAATTATAAAACCTATCTTTATGCTGTAAATTCATAAATAAAGTTCGTATAGACATAATTTTATCATCATAAGTTCGTTTAGCATTAATGCCAACTATTTAGCAACATGTCTATAAAACTATTTCTTCTAAAACTCAAATGAGCATTATTACCATAATATATTTAAATAAAATTGAAGTATCCTTGTCATAAATAAACTAAAATAAATATTACAAATTAAAAAAACTTTTTAAATTAAAATATGAGGGTTCTTTTATTAATCTTTTTTAAAAACTACAATTATTCTGAACTGCTAAACTGACCCGTTTTTTCTGTTGTCGAGTCAGAAATTCCAGCCCACTTACAACTGAAAAGGCCGTCCTTATTTTAAGAAGGAAAGTGCGCTGAGTCTGAGTGACAATTACAGTTTTTTATGGTTATGGTTAAGANGATTCTGACACCGGCGTCGATACGACTCGTTCGTAACGACCACATGAACTTCGCAACGTACTGCGCGTCCACAGCCTACTGTGACTAGGGCATCAAGAAATGCTACTACAGCGCCACTATGTGTGTTTAACAATGACCAGGGAATCAAGAAAATTTATCGATGTGATGCTTATCATTGAAATTATTGTATATTTTTCTGAGATGAGATGAGATGAGATCTGATATATTGATTGTTTCAGTACCTTGAATTTATTATTATCACAATATACACACCCACATATATATATATATAAAGTAAATACTCTTAGCGCGACTAACTTCACATCGAACTGAACACTAGCTCGATATATACTACTAAAGCTCGTCCGCGGCTAACTTAAGAGTCGGAACTTTTTGGACTAAACGTAAAAATTCTTGAAATGAAATCAGCACTTTTCAAGAACGTATATATAATAAAACAATTAAAAAAGCTTTTCTGGTCGCGATTTTTTTTTCAAATCATAGTTTA